GGACGGGGGTGGGGGAGGGCGGTGGCGGTTTCGATGGGGGCGCGTTGGGGAGGGTCGGGGTGCGCCTGGATGACGCCGGGTGGTTGGGAGGTGGGGAGACGGACAGTTTATGCCAGGGGGGCTGCGTGAGGCGCTCATGACGTGCCAGGCAGGGATTGCATGGACGTGGCGGCCCGCCTACGCGGTGAGATGACATGATATGCGATGAGATGATTTGGAATGATATGATATGATATGATATGATATGATATGATATGAGATGAGCGTCCCCTCACCTGCTGCTCCTGCGCCGTGACCTGCACCACGCCCCCCGGGACCACCGGGCGGTACACCACCGGCGGCCCTGCGACTGGCACCGCCGCCAGCGCCGCGGCGGGGCTGGCGTGGATTGACTGCAGCGCCAGCCGCAGCTCAGGCCTAATGGGGAGTTGGGGATGGAAGGGCAGCAGGAAGGGATTAGGGGCGGGTCGGGGCGCACTCGCCAGCTGACCCACTTTCGTGAGACAGAGAGTGCGGCCAGGACGGATCCAGCGCGTTTGCCGGCGAGCTGCGCGTCCGCCTCACGGGCAAACTCGACCTGCGATTGCCCGTCAACCGGCGGACAGACACACCCCAGCCGACCGCGGCCGCAGCCGTGGCGGCGGCGCGGGCGCGGAGGGCCGAGGTCCTGCGCCGCTGTCCTGCCCCTCCCTGCCCACCTGTTTGCGAGCCACTGCCTGAACGACGTGGGTGACGTGAGCCCCGCCTCCTCCAGGTAGCCCGCCAGCGCGATGATGACGCAATAGCGCTCCAGGTACGCGCTGCCGCGGCTGAACGCGCTGTGGCGCGCGCCCGTCTCGGAGCGCAGGCTCTTGTAGCTGCTGCGCGGCTTGCGGTACCTTGGGGAACGCGGCGGGGGTGGCCGCGGGGCGCGGTTCCCGTCGCAGAGTTCAGGCGGGGGGCGCGGGCTGAGCGCAGCGGAGCACACTCAGCTGGGCAGCGAGCACAGCCCAAAAGTGCAACCTGCGGAGCGCTAGAGGCTATCTGTTTTGAATAACACACGTGATGTTGTGCCCCGTTCGCATGCCCCGAGTTGCGGGTCCATTCAAGATAAAGGGAGCGCCGAAGCCGGGGCCGGCGCCCTGCGGCCGCCGGGCTCACTTGAGGATGCTCATGCGGAGATTGAGCAGCTGGCTGTTGGCGTCGATGGCGGCGTCGGCCATGCGCTTCGCGACGTCCCCCACCTCCAGCAGCCGCACCACGCGCCGCACGCCCACGTAGCCGCCCTGGGGAGGTTACCGCGCGGAGCATGCGAATGCTTGTGGCGCTGCCATGGTTCAACGCATACCACAGCAAGCATCAGCAGTGCATGCGCCACGTGTGTTCTGCATTGCCAAAGTATTTGAGCTACTCAAATCAGCTCAAACCCCCATGGCCAAAACACAGGTGTGGAGCGCCCCCAGGCGATCCTCCCGATACCCCGAAAACGACCCACCTGCGCCAGGGCCCTCTGCTCCTCCAGCTCCTCATGGCTCATCTCGTCCCACCCAATCGCGGGCGCGCCCAGCCCGTCGCGCTCGTCGTCCTCTGCGCGGGCACGGGCGTGTCGAATCAGGAGCGCAAGGTACACAGGGGTCAGGGGTGCACACACACGGCGCTGCATTCGTGTGCGGAGCCGGCCAGCAATTGTTGCATGCATGCATCGGTCACCGGACCATCACCCAAACCCAAGCATCTCTGAGGCATGACGAGCAGGGCGCCGGCCGCGGGCGCGGCAGCGCTAGGGAGGGACGGCGTCGGATGACTCACCGCTGCGCGGCGAGCCCCCCTGCATGGCCTCCGCCAGCGCCGCCAGCGGCAGCTCCTCCAGTGCCTTGCTGCTGCTCGCCTTGCGCATCAGCGACGCCACCGCGACGCCCGCGCCCGCGCCGCCGGACGAGACGACGGCAGGCGACACGGGGAACGGGGCGCCGGGGGCGATGGCTGCTGCGTACATGTCGAGGAGGCCGCCGATCACGGTGCCCGTGGTGGTGCGGCCGGCGCCCAGCTGGCAGTTGAAGATCATGGGGCTGCCGAAGCCGGCGGCGCGCGCCTTGTTTGGGCGGTGGGTGGTGAGTGTGGGG